GGAGGGGTTAAATGTTAAACTTAGCTGATAAGGACTTCAAAACAACTCTAATATATACAAGGGAACTTCAAAAAGTTAGTGGTAAATAGAATTAAAAGATAATACAAATATTTTCATGAACTTTTTGAAGTACTCTCATATGTTCGAAGAACTAAAAGGCATAACAAAGAATTAAAGGAAAGTATAATGTTATTGACTCATCAAATAGGAATATAGATAAAAAAAATTATAAACAAGAATCAAATGGAAATTTTTAAACTAAAATGACTCATCACATATAGAAAAAGAACTAAAAGGCATAACAAAGAATTAAAGGAAAGTATAATGTTATTGACTCATCAAATAGGAATATAGATAAAGAAAAATTATAAACAAGAATCAAATGGAAATTTTTAAACTAAAATGACTCATCACATATAGAAGGATACAATGAGATTAACAGCTGAGTATTTATGAAAAACAATGGAGGCCAGAATACAGTGGGATGACATACCCAATATGCTGAAAGAAAAAAAAAAAGCCTGTTAACCAATAATTCTATATGCATCAAACTATCCTTCAAAACTGAATACAAAATTTAGACATTCCAAGAAAAACATAAAGGTTTTATTTTAACCAAGTCTGCCTTATAAGAAATAAAAAAAGGAAGTCCTTCAAAGTGAAAGGAAATGACACTAGATGATAACTTAAAACCACACAAAGGAATAGAAAACATCAGTAAAGGTAATTACAAAGGTAAATACAAGACAGTTGAAAATATTCATTACTTTTTTATTCTCTTAACTGATTGAAATGAGAGTTGGATATAACAAAAACTATAAAACTGTACTTTTGGGCTTATAACATATAAAGATGTAATATTTAGAATATTAATGGCATAAAGGAGAGGGGAAATGGAACTATACTGGAGTGAAGTTTCTATGTTAAACTGGACTTAAGTCAGTATTGCTCAAAAGTAGATTGTGATGTAGATTCAAAAGTAGATTCTAATAAGAAACTACTAAGAAAATAAAACAAAAAATGAAAATGCTACCTTAGACAATATTTCTTTTGCATAAAAAAAGGCAGTAAAGAAAAGACAGAGGAACAAAAAGTCATGAGATAAGTGAAAGTACCCATAAACATCAGTATAGACTTCTCTGATCATTTTATCAACCTCTTCATGTGTTAACTTCCTCCAGTGTCTGTCATCACATGACAAAGCTTTGCTGTACTAATATAGCCATTACTATCATTATCAAACACACTGAATGCTTCTCTGGTTTTTTCTTCACTGTCTGTGTCTTTAATTTTTCTTGCCATCATTGTTAGAAATTCAGGGAAGTCAACTGTGCCACTAGCCACTAGCATCTACCTTAGTAATCACATCCTGTAACTCTTCTCTGGGATTCTGCCCAAGAGACCTCATTACAGTTCCCAATCTCTTTGTTCTTGTAGTTCCATCACTACCCTTGTTAAACAGTGAAAATGCTTCTTTGAATTCTGCAATCTACTCTTCAGTTAGTTGTCAGTCACACTGCAAGCCCTACTGGTTTCTGAGATGCAACCATACAATCACTTGGCTCACTCATGCCACTCATACTCTTCAAAGGGCATTTTATAATGAGAAGAAAGATCTCAATTTATCAGAAAGATATAGGAATTATAAGCATATACATACCTAATAACAACACAATAGTACATGAAGCAAAATTGACAAAATTGAAGACAGAAATAGGAAATTCAATACTACACCCTCAATAATGGATATAACAACTAGACAGAAAATAAGCAAGGATATAGAAGACTTGAGTAACACTATCAGTTAACTTCACCTGGCCGACATCTATAAAACACTTCACCCCCAAACAGCAGAATGCACATTCTTTCCTAGTGCACATAGGACATTCTCCAGGAAAGACCATATGTTAATCCATAAAACAAATCTCACAAATTTAAAAGGATTAAAATCATACAATGTATGTGCTCTGACAACAGAATTAAATTAGAATTTAACACAGAAATAAATTTGTGAAATCCACAAATATTTGGAAATTAAACAAATAATCCATGGGTCAAATAAATCACAGAAAAATTAGAAAACATTTGAAATGAAATGAAAAGATAATACAAGGGGTCTTCAAAATGTTCATGGAAAGTGTGTATTATGAAAAAACTACTGATTACAATTTTTTTGTGTACCAAAATAAACTCATATTAACTTGTTATAACATGTCTAAACAGAATATAGTCAGAGGCACTAAGAAGGATAAGACATCAGTTTGAAAAGATACCCTATCATAGCAACATGAATTCTGCTAACATTGAAGCAATAACAAACATCAACTTTAGGCTGAAGTTTGGATGGAAGACTGATGAAATCGTTGATGCTTAACAAATAGTTTATGAAGAAAATGCTCCAAAGAAACCAACATTTTACAAATGGATAACTTGTTTTAAGAAGGGACGAGACAATGTTGAAGATGAAGCCTGCAGTGGCAGACCATTCACATCAATTTGTGAAGAAAAAATTAATCTTGTTTGTGTCCTAACTGAAAA